TTAATTCTACAGAAAAGTATTACATTAAATCAATAAGAGGTGCTTTAGTAGTAACAGTTTGTTGACGATATTACTTCGAGGAGGATTATTTATAGCAAAGCAAATTGCAATATTGTAATATTTTCTAAATATTATATCTAGATTTTTTTAATACTATAAGAAAACTGTTTTACCAATATATTTTACTATATTAAAATGATATACTTACTTAGTGACTTGGTCACAATATTTTTCTCTCGTAAATATATTTCACTTAAAATAGCGCGCAAACGCGTGTATCGCTCTCCGCGTGTTTTCGAGGACTGCTCAACTGCTGGTTTTCTATTTATTCTGATAAATTTTAATTTTACTTTGACACAATATGTGTGGACTGTGCCTCGTGGTCACTGGTCACTATCTTTTTAATCTAAATGTTCCCACCACACTTTACGATAAGATATCCACGTGAAATGATAGTAATCGTTTTTGTTACTAGACGACCGCTTGGTCTAATTCAATTAAACGTTAATGACATTGAATTCCTACAATCGTCGAATGGCGTTTAGTCACACCTTGCTCGGATGTATCGCATAGTGCTATTTTGGTAGATATTCGCTTGTTAGAGTAATTTAGTGACCTACATACAATCACGAGCTTGCCTTTGTAATGCAGTTAGTCAATAATTTGGAAAATATCCATTATTTGTACTTTTACAATCGTTTGCTCAATACTCTTAAGCTTCATACCCGACTGTGTTATTGTAAATATTTGCATGATATAAATAACAAATGCTGATGGTGGACAAAATACATATTTTATTTCCTTTAGGCCATATTTTTATTATTAACGGAAGTATATTATACAGGTCCTCATATAAACTACAAAATATACGGGGAAAACAAATTATTTATGCCAATGCTTATTATACACACCAGAATATGTAATGTAATAAAGAGAAGAGTTCAAAAAAAGTCTTTCAAGGTCTGTCTTACGAGAAAGTCTCATCTGCGACTGCCAAGTCAAGATCCGAGACGCCCATTTGGTGAAGGATCTAATTCTAAATCTATACTTCAAGCTACAATCGCCAAGCTGCGCTATTAACTCTTACTTACAGAGATTGTCATAGCTATTGTAAACCGAACAGCAATAAAGAAATTGATAGAGACGGTCTGATGATGTATATTTGGCACTAGTATGGTATGTAAAGTTTATTAAAGCTTTATTGATGAATCCATACAACAATTTATTAGTAAGTTTATATTTCTTGATATGAGTATTAGTTGGTAGTATAAGTTCTAAAAAATTTAGTTTTTTTTCTGTTTACTGGTCTAGTTTTTGGTAGTGGGAAGGTGATATTACTATCATCTTAAATAATTGAGTAAATTTCTTTATTTCTTATATATAGGTACTATCTACAAAAACAGGTCTATTTTTCGTATTATAATGATAATTATATATACAAAAATAATTAGTCATAAAACGCATATAAACAACCGTATACTAATCGTTTAATTAAACGAATTTAATGTCAACTGAAAATTTAAAATTTCTGTTTGTCTAGTAAAATTTTGACTTTATAGTAAAGAGTCTTTCCGATTTCCCGCCGAATTACGCCATCGTGTCGTACATTACTACTTTCAACCACTAATAAAACGTTATAATAATAAAGTCTCGTAACTTAAAATAATAACTTTACTTATGTTTTGGAATGTACGATGTCCATGTAATGGCACATTATTGAAAGCACCATGTTTGTTTTTGCTTTTCATGTGATTTGAAGGAAGCATGGACATTGGACAATCGTGTTAGTGGCACTAAGGGTCGATTCGACCAAACTTCAATTTATACACGAGTAACTATACCAGGAATAATCTATTCCATGATTTTAATCTCGAGTAAATCCATAGTCGTTTCTCCACGTAATCGATAGTATAATTGCGCTAGGAATAACAATACGCGAATAGCAAAGAGAATGGTGAACGAAAATAAAACTCGGCAAATAAATGTTGTTCTACAACGGGACAGTGTAAGGGCATACATCATGTAAACTTGATTTTGCTGTATTATAGTGTGAATAAGTAGCTTTTAACAGGTGTCAAACGACAACAAAAAGTTTTTATTTGTTGTTTGTTTGAGGCTTTCGTCTAAAAAGTAACTTCTGTTGAGCCTAGTTGAATTTCATTCTAATATTATATAAAATAAAAAATCGAAAAATAAATAAATAAATAATAAATTGTTTAAACGTTTCATTATACAATGCCAGACTATTAATTTAGTGCGTTGCGTTGACTTGAAATTAAAACACAGAATACATATTTGTGAAATGACAGAAATCAGATGATTGGACTGACTGACGCCATTAAATTATTCTAGGAATAGCTGTTATTCCGTGCGAAACGGCGGTATAGTAGCAATTCCCGAATAGGCCCCACTATTCTTAGAATTTGTAGATGGTAAAACGTAAATTTATTTACTCTCGATTAACTGACGATTTATTCTAAGATTAAGATTTACTCTTGTTTGGTCGAATCGACCCTAAAATAACTTATAACAAACGTCACTACGGGTAAAGCTGCAATAAATATAGAGTTTTAATAAAGGTTATAGTATTTTTTCTCACAACATAAAACCACCTACCAATGACGAAAATTTAAGACATGTACATAGTTTCAAGTTTGAAAAAGTAGGTATAATTATTTACACAATTATTTATTTTATTCACGTATAATTGTTGTTTTAAAGGCATTTTAAAATTACGTCGTGTGTTTTAATGGGGTTTTAAGGTCATCTTATCACACCTTAATCAAATAATTAATCATGAACTTATCTTCAAATTTAACATGAGTTCTATATCACCAAGTAATATAGAACTCATGTTAAATTTGTCATCTAATATTATTATATTGTGCGTTTTCCAATTACAGCACTAGAGCGCATTATGCGGCATAATGCTCAACGTTGAATGTTCCAACTACAGCAACGCTTCGCACAATTGAGCACTCTCAAAACGAATGCTCTCGCGTGCTTCTCGCAATAAATACCAACATAGTGACAGAAAATTGACCAGTGTTTTTCTTTAAGTTGGCATTTATCGAAATTTTCGTTAGTAAATATTATTTATTGTTGAAAAATTTTTAAGGCTTTCGTTTCGTCGTAGATTTTGAAAATAATTAAAGTTATTTCAAACTGCTAAAAAAAATAAATATAAGTATGGATGAAGGTATAAATAGTTACTTTTTTTATATTCCACATTTAAAATATGAATACAATTTTATTTAAAAATCGGATCTGTAAACAAATTTATTTTACAGGATTATACTTTTGTAAATATTGCAATGGTTTTGAAAAAGTATATAAATTTTTTTTAGAAATCATTTAAAAAAATTACTCAAAACGTAAATGATGTAAACTTCTTACATGAAACTATATATTTTACTGTTAATTTAGCTTGTTAAAACCTTATATTCTTTAAAGGTTTTCTCTTATTTCAGTAAAAAAATGTTAATGAAATAATTTGATTATTAAAATAAGCGTAAAAAGTTTTCAACCAATTATTATTGTTAACCTAAATTATTTATACATTAATGAGGTTAAGGAGCTAACACTATTCAGAATTTTTTTTTTCAACACTGACTTAGCGCACTCTGCTGATGCATTTGAAAACTAATTCACGTTCCAATTAAGCTTCAGCATTATGCGGCATTGTGCGGCACTGAGTCGCATAATGCTCTGTAATTGGAAAACGCACATTATGCTTAACTATTTGGCAAGAGAATATGTGCGTTTTCCAATTACAGCACTAGAGCGCATTTTGCGGCATAATGCTCAACGTTGAGTGTTCCAACTACAGCAACGCTTCGCACAATTGAGCACTCTCAAAACGAATGCTCTCGCGTGCTTCTCGCAAACAATACCAACACAGTGACAGAAAATTGACCAGTATTGTTCTTTAAGTTGGCATTTATCGAAATTTTCGTTAGTAAATATTATTTATTGTTGAAAAATTTGTAAGGCTTTCGTTTCGTCGTAGATTTTGAAAATAATTAAAGTTATTTCAAACTGCTAAAAAAATAAATATTAGTATGGATGAAGGTATAAATAGTTACTTTTTTTATATTCCACATTTAAAATATGAATACAATTTTATTTTAAAATTCGGATCTGTAAACAAATTTATTTTACAGGATTATACTTTAGAAAAAATTGCAATGGTTTTGAAAAAGTATATAATTTTTTTAGAAATCATTAAAAAATATTACTCAAAACGTAAATGATGTAAACTTCTTACATGAAACTAAATATTTTACTGTTAATTTAGCTTGTTAAAACCTTATATTCTTTAAAGGTTTTCTATTATTTCAATAAAAAAAATGTTAATGAAATAATTTGATGATTAAAATAAGCGTAAAAAGTTTTCAACCAATTATTATTGTTTACCACATTATTTATACATTAATGAGGTTGCTAACTCAATTCATAACATTTTTTTTACAACACTGACTTAGCGCACTCTGCTGATGCATTTGAAAACTAATTCACATTTCACGTTCCAATTAAGCTTCAGCATTATGCGGCATTGTGCGGCACTGAGTCGCATAATGCTCTGTAATTGGAAAACGCACTATACTTGCATGTTTACTCTGGTCAACTCTGTGCATTCAACATAGTATTCCTTTCTTAAGCCTACTTTGAACTTTCATTGTCTGTGGTTTTTGATACTCTTTGGTTCTAACATCAAGTTTCAACAATTTCAAATTTTAGTAATCAATTTTGCAGTTTGCTGATTTCAATGAACTCAGTAATTGTTCTTTTCGAAGTGGCTTCCAATCTGAATTTGTGTTCTTTGTTAACTATTGAGCTAAAATTATATTAGTTAAAACCGTATTGCACTAAAACTCTGTATACAATAGAATTTTGCTGAAATACGAAAATTGACACATTGAATAGGCATTACCGCGTGTAGGTTATAAAGTACGCTTTAATTTTTAATTTTCGTTGAATCTTTGTTTAAAAAAGATATAATGGAAAGTATGGACGTCGCACAAGAAGGAGCATCTGCAGCATCTACCCCAGTGCAAGAAAATGGTAGGTTTTTACTTTAAAAATTCAAAAAGCCGGGTATTGAAATCACTAAAACGTGTTCTTTTGTCGAATTAGTTTCTCAAGTTTAATCAAGTTTATGATTTTTAGGCCCGGACAAAAATGTTACAGCCGAAGAGATGACATCGAGGGACTACTATTTTGATTCTTACGCGCATTTTGGTATACACGAGGAAATGTTGAAAGATGAAGTGCGGACTCTTACCTATCGAAATGCTATGTACCATAATAGACATCTATTCAAAGGAAAAGTAAGTAATTAATGCTTTTGTGGTATTGTTAACAATAAAACTGTTCAATTTTTTTTACAGGTTATCCATACGACCTAAGTTACTACTATAAACATTAATATAACTTCTAATAAGGTATAAATGTTTTTGTTTTAGACGGTACTTGACATTGGATGTGGTACAGGAATTCTCTCCATGTTTGCAGCAAAAGCAGGTGCTTCGAAAGTGTTTGCCATAGAGTGCTCCAATATTGTAGATTATGCCCGAAAAATTGTTGAGGCGAACAGACTTGATGATGTCATAGAAATTATTAAAGGAAAGGTAAAAACTTGGTTTCTTTGTGTATGTTGCATATTTTTAACATTGGCCCAATACAATGACACATTACTCATGACCAACTGAAGATATTTAGATAATCAATTTAAATTTTAAGTAATGTATTTATGGAGTTCCGTAAAGCAACTTACAACCAATTTTTTAGGTGGAGGAAGTGGAGCTTCCAGTTGAAAAGGTTGACATAATTATTTCTGAATGGATGGGTTATTGTCTCTTCTATGAAAGCATGCTGGACACAGTTCTTTATGCTCGGGACAAATGGCTAAGGGAGGATGGTATGCTCTTTCCTGACAGGTGATTATGACATTACAAGTTAAATACTAAATTTAATTTTAAAAGACTAGTTAGTTGATGCCTGTACTTTGCTTTAAGTGTTGCCATATTTTTTAGAGTTAGGAATTATCTAATTTTGGTTCTATTTAAATAACTATAATAATGATTTTAATAGAACCAAATAAATAATTATAATTTTAAAAATTAATATGTTTAAACTGTTATTTTCATGAATAGGTGCACATTATTTATTTGTGGTATTGAGGACCGTCAGTACAAAGATGAAAAGATTAACTGGTGGGATGATGTCTATGGCTTTGACATGTCGTCTATCAGAAAGGTGGCTATCTCTGAACCTCTTGTTGATGTTGTTGATGCTAAACAGGTTTGTCAATAAACAACTTTACATATAATATATTTAGAAGGAATTATAATATCATAGCTCTTTAATTTATTGTAGTACATACTTCAGTCAATAAATGCTTGCAATTTTATGTGCATATGAATAATTATTATTATTGAACAAAATGTCTCACAGATTTTATTTGTTGTGGAGGAAGAACAATTTTTAAACTTAATAATATTTACTTCATAAATTTTTAGTTAATTCTGAAAACATTGTTTTCCCAGGTGGTCACAAACTCTTGTATGTTGAAAGAGATAGACTTATATGTTGTCAAGAAAGAAGATCTTAACTTTGAAGCAAAGTTCCATCTTCAGGTGAGAAAAAAATAATAAGATTAATGCGAGGAATATTTTTGTTGTGATTGGTTTAACTCGTAACGTTTACGTCTGTCATATTTTTGGAAGACAAGTAATCAGCACTATTTTACTGAAGCATTTAAAGATATTTCTCTATAGGACTCTGTTCAGACCACTCATATATGTCTAAATAAGAGAAACATTTGCTGGTGGTGTTCTTAGTACACAAAATATCTCAAGTTGTAATGAAAAATGTTGGGCAATAATATACTGGTGTTTGATTTTTAGGTTCGTCGCAATGATTTTATTCAAGCTTTGGTGACATTCTTTAATGTGGAGTTTACGAAATCTCATAAACGGTTGGGCTTTAGTACTGCCCCAGAGGCACCCTACACACACTGGAAACAGACTGTTTTCTACTTTGATGAATATATGACTGTGAGTATCTTACTAGATAATTTGTATAAAATTGTCATCTTGGCAATTTATTTGATGTTTATCTATCTATATACTATCTATCAATATATCTTGCAATATACTTTTATTTGGTAATTTAGTTTTTGTAAAGAAAATATAAGTTACTATTATAGTCGTAACACTTGCGCAACTGATAGCCTACAACCACATCTGCTTGCACTCCAATATAAACAGCTCCGTAAACTGTTACTGTGATACAATTGAGTTAGTGCAAAGACATAAGTACCTTGGCTTAATTATAGGTGATAGACAAAATTGGAAACCGCACATCAATACAGTGTCAACCGAAGAGAAATTCTAGCAAAATGTTCAATTTTCAAATATAAAACACATTTTAAAACACTTCTACTACTGTATAAAGCGTTGGCGGAATGTATTATATCTTACCTTTTATCCAGTTATTGAATAACCAGTAAAACCAATCTTGTCTGTATATTTGCCATACAACTGAGAATTTATAAGCAATAGTCCTAACTAACCCAAAATATCAAGACAAAGACTATCGCAAGTTATTTGCGCTGTGTAAAATTATACACATACAAAAGAAATATTAATTGACACTTCTAAACTCATTTTATTTTACACAAAATGTCCAAACATACCTTTCCGTTCGTAGAAAAATATAACAATAATAACGTACAGCTGCCAAGGTACAATAAACGATACGGAAAAATAAGACTAAACTATATAATTCAAAATGAAATTGACATAAATATCAAATATAATCTTAAAAATACTACATTGATCAAACTATATAAAATTATTATAATTCTTCTTCTTTTATATTATATTTACCTACTACACAATACTAATAATACAAACATAAAGACACCTGTACCTCGACACTTGGAAGCCTGTCCAACCAATTATCATGCCATGTCTATATTTTATTTTGTTCAATTTATAGAATGTAATTCGTAATTAAGTATTATTATTATAGTATTGTAATGAATGTCGACACTTCGGTGGACGGAGAAATTGTGACCAATTTGTGTTTTACCATCATATACATTTCTGTATTAAAAAAATAGATTAATTTATTAAAATGTATAAATAAACTCAACAGAAAGATATTTAATTTACATTTCAGGTAAAAAAGGGTGAAGAAATAGTAGGCACTTTTGGCATGCGCCAAAATGCGAGGAACAACAGAGACCTCGACTTTGAACTCGAAATTTCTTTCAAGGGCGAGCTTTGCCAGGTGCAAGAAAAGAATCACTACCGGATGCGTTGATACCAACTCATTTCCCTGTGGTACTTAACTTATGTTTTGCAACTTCCCATTTCGTCGTATTATCGTCAAGGTGTTTCTTTTTAACTGGCAATTTTTTGTACTAGTAGTTACTTTTAACAGCTTTAAGTATGGCCTGAGGAATCATTTATTCTTTTAGCAATATTTTTATTTGTTAATATGATCATTATTTCAAAAGTATAATTCGGAAAAATGTTTCAAGGTAAAATTTTGATTTGTAGTTTTTTATTGATATATCTGCTCTGCTCTTTACTAATATTTTTCCACAAAGAAGCAAACATAAGTATAACATTAGGTATGTCACTTTATTTAAGGTAGCTGTAAGTCGTATTAGTTTTATATTCTCTCATTTTAAGATTTCAAAATACAATTTCTGTGATGACAATTTTTTAAGTTCTTAAACATTAAGTTTGAGTTTAAAATTGATGATTTAAGCAAGAGATGTGCAGAGTTAAACAGCCTTTGTTCAGTATTGTCTTGATCAATGATAAAATTGATTGATATAGATAAAATTGTAGCAAGGATGCAGTAGTTATTTACAGGCAGGATTGAATAAAATAGTGCAGAATATTGAATGATCTTCAAGCTAAACAATTTGAAGAAAATCTTATATAATTTGTTTGTAATTTTTATTAAGTGTTCCGAATGTTTATCTGTACTCAGTGTGTAGAATGAATGGGTAAGATGAGTAAAATAATATGAGGTAAATATTTGTTTTATTTTCAACTTCCAACACTTTTCCAAACAATTATGTTCATAAAATAAACATTTCTTTTAACAAATATCTATATTTTAATCATATGAGTAATCAGTTTAAAAGTTGCAAGACACTGACTCAGTAAGAAGATACCTTTTCATTTCAGTTAATTTATTTCAATGTTTATGTTCAATTAACAATTCTATATTTATATCTATCTTGTTTCTACAAGGTCAGGAAATATTAATGTCTATTTGATTAAGTTAAGTGTGGTTAATCATATATCTAATCCATTTTTATACACACAACTGTACTTTTGTAGGTAGGTATATTAGTAATTGTAAATATTGAATCAAAATGCCATAAAAGCCAAAGGGCTGATCTCATAAACAATCTAACAAGATTGTTTATGAGATCAGCCCAATATTCAGTCAAATTGCTTTGATATATAATTCTTCTTAAACTACTACTGGTACAGCAGCCACAGGAACAACGTGTGCCGCAGCGCTTTTCTGAAGATCGACACAGCAGCAGTTGGTGATCAGGTGGTATTCTTGACAAGAGTTGGCGTGGAGGAAATTGCAGTTCGTTTTACGGCAGGAGAATGGTAGATCTTAAAATATTGCAAAAGTTTCATATCATGTAAGAGTTATAAAATAATTTAAAATAGACAATTATAAGTCCATTGCGTTAGTATTGTCCCAGTTAAATTATTGACTTAAATATTAAATTCGTACTAAAGTACTTTTGCAAAGTAACAGACATGTAAAGGTAAAGGCATAAAGAGTAGGTATTGTTGAAAAACTCACATGCTTGATTTTCGCAACAGCAAGAGTCATGGGTTTGTTTATGAGAGCAGTAACTGTAGACTGACGAGTCACATAACGGGCACCCAGGATGGGCACCTGGCGGGCCATCTTGACCCGGGTAGTGGCTGCCAGGATATTGACCTGGGTATTGGTTACCCGGATATTGCCCTGGATACTGGTTACCCGGATATTGCCCTGGATACTGGTTACCCGGATATTGCCCCGGTCCAATTGGATATTGTCCAGGGTACTGCTCATATTGACCGTAGCCAACTCCTAGCAAATAGTTCCATATGTCATTTAGACCGAAACCTGGTAATGAGATGATGGGTTAGCGATGATAATGATGGTTAGTCACGATGGTGATGTTGAATATGGCAACCCCGGAAAACCAAAGAACCAGCTTACATACTGCGCTTGACGATACTGAATAGGTATATATAGGTTATTACTTGAAAATAAGTGAAGAACAAGAAAATGGTGTATAGCTTATAGGTCTAAATTTTAAAAAAAGGTTTTCGAAAATTTATTTGATTTTTTTTATTACAAGCGGTATGTAAGTAGTATGAATATGCATAGATATTATGCCTAATACCTATGATGGTAATATGAACATGAAGCCTACAGTTTTAGCTTACAGTATTTAAATAACAACTCGATGGACATTTTTGTATATAAATAAAAGAAGAAGCCAATGATTGATGCATGTAATGTTTATGATTTCCATTCATATAACAAAATGAACTGATATTAATGAAAAAGGATTATTAATAATTAATTGAATACACGTTATAATAGTTACCGTTTTTGGCTGTGCCTATTTGGTTTCTGCTAATTTCATAGTTACTCGGCCGAGCTCCTGATTATTTAAATTATAAATAGATATTTGTTTATACAATAGATACACATAATTTGCTTACATAAATATATAATTTTATGATTCAATGTTAAATAATTAACAATATTTAATGCGGATAATGCAATATGTATTGTTTAAAAAAACTTACCATTACAAGCTGTCAGTAATGTAGATATGGTCAAAATAGTAATTGGAGAATTCATTTTAATAATTTAATAAATTTAAACAAATGTCTGAGCCGTTTCACGGATGAGAATCAAATGTAAATAATGAAAAATGCTGCTTAAGACTTCGTTAGAACTTGCCATACCAGTACAGTTACGAGAAAAGTATACTCGTAAAATAGTAGCCACAACTTGTTTATTGAACTATAGAGGTAGGCATTTAATTTGAATTGAATCAAAATGTTTTTCGGTTAATTGTTAAGTTTTTAAATGTTTACGTAGGGACACAACTTTATCACGGATTGACCTTACATGGTATTAGTAACATCCTTTATAATATAATCCATCATCTTTTAACAGATTATGGATTATATTATAAAGGATGTATTGCAGTATTGATAAATAAAGTAACCGAGCCATGAGTAAAAAGTCCATTGCCAAGTCTAGGCCATGGGTCAATTGTCCTTTAAAATCTTTATATACCTAAATCACTTCCCAACTCAAGTGTACTTCAAGTGCAGTATTAATAGATCAAGGGTTAATGCAGCTGTACTGAGTTATCCTAATAGGGCCGTTCTCTTGCTATTATTTATAATTAATAATACTAAGTACTTATTATTTAGTTAAATATATATTAAAAACTGTTTTATATTTAAGTATTTAGGAGAAATATTTCGCTATAGTATAATTGTATAACCGCTATATATCATTTTTAAAATGCACAATGCGAAAACTTTTAAAACAATACTTGAATAAAATTTAGGACATTAATCGCAAAAACGCTGCAACGAACGCTGGTTACAAAGGTATTATATCCTGAATATATTTGTGTAGAAGACATATTTGCACACCAAAAAAGTGGCAGGGGACGCTTAGTCAGTTCTTAAAACGTATAAAGGGATTCTTATAAATATTATACATTAGTACCTAGGCTAAGTGGCTAATGTCAGGGTCCTGCGGTGCTTGACCCGATGTACCGTAACATTAAAACCTGTTGATCGCAGATCGTAAAAGCCTGTGTTCATGCTATCACTTTTTAAATATGATATATAGTAACACGGCTTTATACATAGACATCTACATTCTTCAGATAAAACATTAATCCTAAATATCTTGAAAATTAATAATACACTTTAAATTAATAGTTAATGTTTCATTTTAACACACTGTGTATTAGCTGTGTGTTTTTACACTTTATTGTATATATAACGCCAAAAGGATACATTTAGGTATATGATATACGGGCGGTCTTGCCTATACATCCATATCTACGAGGAACCCCAACTGTTTCACCCCAACACCCCAGATGTTTCTCAAGCGAATTAAACTGTAAACTATAAAAGTGGCGATCGTCTGAGGTAAACTCAATTTCATGTGCAAATATTGGTATAAATAACATTAAAAAAAATGTTTTTAATCATTTGACAAAATTCCTTACAATGCTTAAGATTTGGAAACCCTTTTAAGTAAAAAAATACATGTGTCAGGGTCCCCAGCTCTTCTGCAGCTCTACAACAAACTAAACTAAATGATATAACGAGTTCATTGTCCTGTACAAAACAGGATGGATGCTAAATTGGAATTATTAATAAAGAACAGATGATTGATTGACGTTTAATTATTATGCTATGCTAGATTTTGATAAAACCGTTACATATTACGAATTAACAATAAAATATATAATACACAATTCATATACCTATGTACTGTAATTAATGTGTTACATTAAAATTGGCACAAGCAATATTGTTTTAGAAAATAAGGATAATAAAATTTACTAGATAGTAAACACTATTTACGAAAGGAAGGTTATCGTAAGGCTTGATAAAACACAAATTACGTCTTATACAAAAAGTTTATTTAAAAAAAAATACCACTGGAGACTATACTACGCTACTATTTAAATTAGGCAAATGAAGCAGGTCTTTCATAGTTATAATATTTAACCACGATAATATAAAACTGGACTCGGAAAGATATAACAATCAACATATACCTTTACCATTCGAATCTTTAGAAAACTGGCTTTATTGTTTGCGCTTTATCAAACTGACCTTTCCGTCCGTACCGTCTACTTAAGACGCGGTAAATTAAATTTGGTTATTACCAACTGTCACTGGCTGTCTGTACTTAATTACATTGAAGCTTGTACTTTTGTGAAGCTTAACGACCTTAACTTAATTTAATATATGGCTCCAGCTTCATAGCTCTCATAATATCTCCGGTCACAGAGCACCTTCCTGCCTGCATAATGACCCTAGCATCTTCCTTGCCCTGAACTAGTTGTTTGAAATAATGTTCGTTCAACGTAAATGTTGTGTCGGGATCCTTTGTGGGCTCGCCCTCGTATACAGTCACTTCGTTTAGGTCCATTGCTGTAAAACAGTTATTTTTATCAAGTATTTTTTATTATATTAGTATATATCATATATATTTATGTATCAGTAGAAGTACTTACTCCAAGAATAAACTGACGTGCCTTTGATAATATTGAATAAGAATACCCCTCCGACTTCCCTTGCCTTATCCTTGTCTGCATTTTCAACTTTGGACTTGATTCTAGACACCAAATCGCCTTTTGAGTTGGCGTCCGATAATTCACTTTGGGATGCACCCTGTAAGAAATGGTTTTTCCATAAATACTCGTATATGATATTAAAAAAGGTCTCTTAGAGACTTTTTTATAAGTATTGATATTTTAATTTACAGCTTTTTGTTTGGTTTTACGGTAAGAGTAGACTTGGCGTGAACTAAATTTTTTGTACGTCAAAACATTTTGACATGCGTGTCCAGTATTATGCCCGACTTCCACTGCGAGCGGAACGGACCCATTACGGACTCCGCTATACTCGTGACGATGATTTTCATACGTGTGCTTCCACCAAAGCGGAGACGAGCGCAGCGGAGAGAGCGAGTTGAAATAGTCACATATGAGGTTAGCTAGTTGACCGAGTTTACCACGGAAATGAAAATGTATGAAAATCATCGTTACGAGTATAGCGGAGTCCGTAATGGGTCCGTTCCGCTCGCAGTGGAAGGCGGGCATTACCCTTGACTCAAAACAAGACACGCTGAAGACGGCTTATACTATAAAAAAATTAATGAAAGAGATCCAAATCTAAGTCACCCCTCCATCTGAACCCAAATAGGACATCGTTGTAATGTAGTTATTTATTATTTAAAAATTACACATCCTCAAAGAATAATTAACTTAGATTTGCGTATTGGAGTATTGAACCAAACGGTATAACATCAAACAATTTCTCTCAAAAAAATATAAAACTAACTTTTACACACTTTACTTTTAATTTTAAATACTTATCGACCTAATACATACAGATACAACGTAAATGCGTTTCTAAACCTGAATATTAATTAAAAAGCTATTAATAATTTCCAATTCGAACGTGTGGAAATAAAAAAATAAAGTTACTGTTTTTTTTAAATAAAAAGTAATTCAAGTTTTGAATACTATTATTATTGAAATGTGATAATTTTTAAGATGAATTAACTTACCATTTCGGAGTGTGTCATGTACAGTTCTGCGTTCGGAAGAGGCACAGCATTCACTTTCACTTATTACAAAACGGTGCAGATACGGGGACCATTATTTATAAAGATTGTAGAAATTTTTGTTTAAATTGAACATCGGTTAAAGTTTAGGTCAAATTTGGATATTTATTATAAATGAATCGTCGTGAAATCTGTACAATTTTTAAATGAAGCAATTTAAATATGTATTTGTTTCTTTGTTAACTTTGTGATTCATGTAGTAATTTTCAATAATATATCTATAAATTTAAATTATCTTTTGAATATTTACGATCCCCTGCGATATATATCTCCCTCGATAAATCGGCTGGGTAGATACAGATATTAAAACAGATTCCTACACGCATTACAATGAACATAATAAAAACCGTCTTTTTCATAAAAAGTACCTAAGTTGTCGTACATATTTACATTGACTATTGGTCACCAATAAGTAGATAAAAACGAACCTTTGAGTAGGATGTAATGGGTAATCTTATGTCACACTACATAACAATTTTAATTATAGACTGGCTACGAGACAGATATAGGTTTTAAAATATAGTTTATAAAACCCAAAAGTGCACGCCTCATAGCGGTCATTCACATTTAAAAAAAATTCTAAAACACACAAGTTTTTAAAAACAAAATAACAAATAAATTATTATCTTTAAGTCTCACGCTACTAAGAATATTTAAACATACTGTCGTATTTTAGTTTTTTACAAATTATAATTAAACGACAGTACTTAGAACGCTAATATTAACTAGGAATCAGCCCAGGGTATAACTTTATATAATAAGAAAAAAAGTATTCTGGTACGATAAATTTTTCGACCAATTTCTCTGCCACATACATCCATAAACTCAGACTGACGGACGGCCAATAATGATTGATTTTATTGTTATTATTTACTATGTTAAACAAAATAATTGTTCATAAAAAATACCATATGTGCTTGATAGATTATTTAACTCGATTTTAGTGCACTCATATTATCCTGTAAGTGTTATATTAGTGAGAAAAAAGTCATTCAAGTTTCGAAAGACTGGGTTTTTTGACATGAGTAGAGCACTGCGAGGCGTCCAATTATTTTAAGTTTTCAATATGTAATGAAAACTTATGAATAATGGTGTTTGTTATAGATAAAAAATAGATAAGCAAGTAATGTCCATGAAAAGGTAACGATTTATTATTCATAGGTAGGTATATCGGTAGTTAGCAACCTGGTTTGCAGACAATCCTGCTTTGAAAGATCCTTTGTGTTTAATGTACACAAACTTTGTACAAATATGAATTTTGCTTTGTAAATGTAATCACCCTAGGTAAATTTGTAAACTTTTGAGACATCTATGAGATTTTGTAGTCTGTGAGCCTTAATTCTTCCGTAGTGTTTAAGTACCACACAAGATGGCGTTGAAATACATTACACATTGATTTTGTTTTGATGAATGTATGCAAAATAGAACGTTCCTTTAACCTCCTGCCACAGTATGCTCAATTATGTTCGTTTCTATGTTTTGTTGCGAAAAAAAAGTATTTTTATATTGTTACGAAGATGGGTTGACTGAAATGTTTCTTGATGTTCTACAAGTTAGAAACGTATGATTTATAACTTAATAATGTATATATAAAAGAGGCTCTCTATCACATACCAGAAAATATGAATTTACATGAAGTTGGCGAGCTTTCAGGATGTGTAGTCGAGTGGTACAGTTTACAGGAAACCCTGACTTGACACCTCTGATGAAGGAATATTATAGAGTGGATTTTCTAGGTATGATGATACACTCAAGAGAGGGTCTCGAAATCAGTCAGGACATTCTAGAACGCTACACATTGGTTATACATTTTGTAACTTGTTTCTTTTTTCCTTTCAGTTTTTTTGTTATGTGTCACCTTTTTAGCGCGGCTAATGAATGTTGAATAAATAAACGCCTTACGAGAAGGACGGAGTGAGGCAATGTGCGAAAGTACGCACTAGAACACGCATCTAGAATCGTGCTATAAGGATAGCAACCAACTAATCACTACCATGCTTGCCCAGAAAGTTCTCGAATACTGTTCGCGATTATTCCCATTATTACATAATACTAGTGGACCCCACAGACGTTGTCCTGTATGATATTTAAAGCGATTAGGATATTAAGCAAAGTATGAAAGTACCGACTGCAGTGCCATCTGCCGGGCTGATTTGTGAATCTAAACCATTCCCAGATCCCCTTGAACACACACAAAAAATTTCATCAAAATCGGTCCAGTCGTTTAGGAGGAGTTCAGTCACATACACACGCACAGAAGAAATATTACATAATATAAGCGCACCGAAACGCGACCAGTTTATTCAGTTTCGCGTGCGATTCCAACAGGTTAACATGGAAGAGATAAAAGTGCAAATAGTAAGACGTGTGACGAAGTACTGTGTAAATTACGGGTAATTGAAGTAATTTGTGGATTTTAAGTATTATTATTTCTTGATTTTCAAATAAACCCTTGATTAGATTTACGGCGTTTTCAATCCTAGCTTGTAACAATGTTAAAACAGGCATTGTGTAAATTAGTTTTTTAAGCTAAACTTAAACATTAGACAGCCAATTTAGAAATTCCATTTCGGAGAGTGAAAGTAGAGTCAGGATAATTTCCCGATTAAACCCAGAGCTGTTGACAACATTAATGACGCGGTTTCCGCACAGAGGTCGTCTGTCAGAACTTTTTTCATTATCTTGTGTACATGTGATGGGCACAGAAGTCCATTTATCCGTGAAGTAAAATGTTTTTTGTATATTATTGTAGTATGAAATCGTGAAAGAATTGGCTTTGATTTCGAGATTTTTTACAATATTCTTTGTGGTTTATACACTTCGATGTTACATTTCTTTAAAATATTGGTAGTCAAACAAGAATTTTACATGAAATGGCAGTCACGAGTCAGAAAAAGTATCGGTTAGAAATTAAATAAATATGTAGTGTTCTAGTTCTATTGTTCCTAACCTATAGCTGACTTAAATAGATCTAAACGTGAAATTAATCACACAATTAACTCATAAATCCCTACGGGCTTAGTCAATTTTTTACTAAAAGCACAGGTAAAATGTCTCTTCTTCGATCGATGGAATCGTTTTATATCGACATATTTGAGTTGCTTCATCTGTGTAAGTGGTTCGGAATTAAATTTACATATTGTATTTGTTAGTCCCATACAAACGCTTTCGAGCCGCGTTTAACATGTTTCCAATAAAAAAGTTGTTTGGCATACGTAATGGCTCCCAGTTTTCGCGTGATAAAGTGTGCCACGTTTAAGACTTTTTTATTATTATTGAAGATGTTTTGTCTTGTTTTGATCTATTTTATGTCTAAAGTTAGGCCAATAATGTATCAATTACAAGGTACCCGAATGACTCAATAATACAATATACAACATTTTGGTTTAGTCTAAGTTTATATTATAGACTTATTTCGGTACTTGGTATACGTTAAAAAATCATTGGTCCACAGGCGGTATTAGAAAACACGGCTAGGCTTTGGTTTACACACGCTCAAAATAGTGGTTGAATGAAAAAGATCGTAAGGCCGCCAATTGCCCTACTTTTCATTTAATTATGTCAATTATTGTATTATATTTCTGTATGCAACGAAGTAATAATAAATAAAATAAGTAAATAATAAATACAACAATCTATTATCTACCATTATGCTTATATATAGGTAGATACATAGCTATGGTTTCTTTAGAATTAGTACAGGTTGCGTGTTACGAAACTATGAATCGCTTTATATTTGTATCAAACGATTATCACTCTTAAAGTTAACTACGGCTAAAAACGGCTAAAATATTTCCATTCCATATAAACAGTTTATGCTTAAAACGAATCCTACACCAGGAACCATCTCAACAGAAATGAATCCATGAATACATTAATATAAATCACATATTATCCTTCTTCTATTAAATTAATGCTATTTGTTTTGATAATCATTAGGTTTTGCTTGAAAGGTATTCCCACGTACGTACGTGATTTGGGTAAGAAGGCAGAAATTATATATGAGAGGTTTTTTGAGACTTTATTAGAGAATTCCCCAAAGCATACATGAAACACATTTCTTATTTGCCTTACATTTTCAAAGTGAACGAATACGAACATACTAAACACTGTATTGATCTTGAAACACAAAAGTCAAAGGAATATAGATTAAGCTTTGCTAAATTATTGCCACGAATATGTTACATTTGTATTTTGTTCGGTTCGGTTTAAAACCTACAAAGTAGGCTGGAGAAGTAATGTCTATCAGTAGCATTTGTTTTATTACAAATAAAACATCTTATATACATTAACATTACGGATATTACCAAACTTTAAAACTATTAAATTATTTGCAATAACTGATAAAGAACTAATGATTTTAAAAGTTAGTTTAATTTATTCTATATTATATTTCATGTGATCAAATTATGCATGGACCGTATTTTTTATCATTTCACAGATAAACAGGACACTGGTAAAATAACATCAAATATTTCTTTATATGTATAGTAAAACATATATATATATATATACATATTATGTTTACATGTATGTGTGTATTTTTTATGTAAAAGTTTACCAAATAAAAGCTCATTCATTTGAGTAAACAATTGTAAAACTGGGATAATTAATCCGTCTTAAATTATATTTGCTTTCAATTGCCTCATTTGTAAATTTTCTTTTTATTTTGAATTATAATAAAAATTTGTTTGTTTATAGTTATCAACATAAAAAAAAGTTTGTTTTTTATTGTAAATTATTTTAATTAATTAATGTATCTTACGAAATAATCCTAATCAGGCCCCTAATCTTGTTAAGAAATACGGTTCGCTATTATATTAAGAAAATTACAAAGTGCCAAACATTTCACAATGATTATTATTTTTTTAAAATAAAATTGCACCTTAATAATACAACCCAGAAGAACCATTCGTTAATTTTTTTTATATTTTATTTTAATTTAGCTATTATACATAGTA